GGTCCTGCCGTGCTGGGTGCCGGGGGGCCTGTCTCCCCTGTCCCCCGCCCCACCCGGGCACCTCGGGGAGCCTGGCACAAACGCGACGAGCCTGCAGACAGGCAGGTGGTGGGTTCAGGTGTGTGGGAGACACCCTTTGTGCCCTGGGCCACTGCCGCAGCCTCCCTCTGCGCGTGCCCCGGGCCTGCCTGGAGCCTCCTCCCCAGGGCCTCCGGGCCGGCCTTGCACCTGGGAGATGCTAGTCACAGCCCCACCCCGGTCCTCTGCCTACCTGGGGAGGCAGGGCAGGTCGTCCGGCCCCACGCCCTCGCTAGCAGCCTGGTGGTTTGAGCTGCCTGGGTAAGGGGTGGGGGTCGGGGTCACGGAAGCCCCGTCCTCTGCTTAAGATGCAGCCCCCATCCGCCAGCTGTCACGTGGCTCAGCATGTGACAGCCCTGTGCCACTGCTCTCTGGAGCCGAGCCAGGCAGAAGCTCTGGCAGAGCCTCGTGCCAGGCGGGGCTAGGCTGGGGCTGAGCCCACAGCTGTCAGTCAGCAATGAGGCCCAGAGAGAGGCAGCCACCGATCCAAGGCCACACAGCAAATCAAGGGCCCACTGGAGGAAGCCTGGTGGGCGGGAGGGGCATTGGAGGATCTTGAGGGTGCCCTCCCTGGATGGAGGGCCTTCGGGGAACCCCTGTCTTCAGGGGCTGAATTTGGCACATATCCAAGAATGGCTTGGGTGGAGTCCCCCAAGAAAGCCAGGCAACAAAGCTCCTCCAGAGTGGGGGCAGGGAAGACACACTGGACACTGAACCTTTGGGGGACAGTGCGGGCTGGCCACACCTTTCTTTTGCTTGTTCCTTAAGGCTCTAGAGACATGGTGGGGCTTCCCAGTGATGACCTTGTCGAAGACACCCCAGCCTAGATGAGGCCCTCTGTGTGGGTCCCACAGGGAGCTGCTCTCAGGGATGGCTCTGGTTGGGAGGGAGACACAGAGGTTCTGAAGTTGGTTGGATTGTTTATTTATACTGAGGCTTGAATTCAGGGCCTCATGCTCTTGCTTGGCTTTTTTGCTCAAGGCTGGCACTCTACTCCTTGGTCCACACCTCTACTTCTGGCTCTTTGCTTTCAATTGGAGATAAGAATGTCTTGGATTCGTCTGCCTGGGCTGACTTTGAACCTTGAGCCTCAGATCTCAGTCTCCTGAGACTCTAGCCACCAGCCCAGCCCTGAAGTTTCTGATAGGGTTGAGTTCATGGTCTGTGGGCCAGACAGATCCTGCCCCTTGCAGGTCTCGCCTCTTTTTCCGGGGCTGTCACTTTACATCGGTGTTCTGGGAAAACTGGGCTGGCAACAGGAGCAGTGTTTGGATGGGCAGAGGAGACAACATGGCCAAGTACGCTGTGCCTGGAGCAGAGATGGTGCGGTGTGCCTGCCTTCCAGTCCTGGCCCGACACTCAGCCCTGGGGACCCAAGTGATGGGAGGGAGAAATGATCTAATTCATGTTTGTAGGCCTGGAACTGTCATGATTCCCAGTGCCCCCACTCCCCACCCCCGGGGCTGCTGCCTGGACTCCAGGTCCAGTCCCACCAACTGACCCTCAAACCCTTAGGCTCTACTGTCCACACTGCCCCCTGCCCCTTGCCCAAGACACTTAGCTCAAGGAGTTGAATGTACAGGGGAAACTGAGACCCACTGAGAGGCCCAAGGTCAGATCTGTCCCCCAGATCAGGGCCCCTTTCTCCTCTGCCAGGACCAGGAAGCCCCCTGTTTCCCTCCTAGAATCCCTCTGTTCATCCCTGGGCAGAAAGTCAGGCCCTCTTCCCACAACTGCCCAGCGTGGCCTGCTTGGCTTGCTTTGTAAGACTTGATGCAGAGTCTCTGTTTCCCCAGGCCCTCGGGGAGCCAGGGCCGGGCCAGGGCAGCCAGGCCAGGGAGGTGGCAGCAAGCGATTCATTCATGCACACATTTGTTCCTTCATTCCCATCTGCACTCTTGCTACTGACAGTCTTCCCAGCTGGAGGCTAAGTCTCCACAGCAAGTCACATCCCCTCACCAGCCTGTGACCTCACTCACAAGAGCGGTTGGCCCTGCCTCATGGGGCGGCAGTGAGGCGGAACAGGAGTGTGCTGGAGCAGGAGGAGCCGGAGTTCTGGGCCAGCTGGGGCTACACAGCAAGCCCCTGCCTCAAAATCCCCAAAACCAGACCAAGAAACAGAGAAGAAAGGCAGGCTGGGTGTTGGTGGCGCACGCCTGTAATCCTAGCTACTCAGGAGGCTGAAATCTGAGGATCTTGGTTCAAAGCCAGCCCAGGCACAGAAAAATCCGTAAGTCTCTGGAAATCATCTGATAGGACCTGAGGCACACAGCAGTATATATAAAGGGGCCTCGTGCCCCCTTTGCTGCTCTCTTAAGGAAGTAGCTATGCCTCAGGTCCTGGCCCCGCTGGCTTGGAGGCCAGGACCTTCCTGACTCAGGCTTGTGGGCCTCCACCAGGCCAGGGTGACCTTCCCAGGTGCAAAGTTAAGAGGTCACAGGAACGGCACTCAGGGAGCAGCAGTGATTGCACCTGGCACGTTTGCTCCCTCAGCAAAGCGTGTGGGCACCTCTGTGCCAATTCTCACGCCATTAGGCATCTCTGCCCAGAGAAGAGTAGTGCCCCAGCCAGGGCCACACAGAAGGACACACAGGGTCTTGTGCTCTGCCAGGCCTGCTCTCCACCCACAGCATTTCTTGGATACTTGGAGTGGGCTGGGACCTGGGCTCTGCTTGAAGCCCCCATTCCATGTACCACACCGCCCACATCAGCAGCCTCCTTCCTATCCCAGCCACACACCTGCCCACTGAATTCTATAGGACTAAATAAGCATGGATTTGGTCATCGCCCAAGACAAAGAACCTTGGGGTCCACTCCCACTGCAGCTTCTGGCCTCCTGTGTCCCTACGCTCCGGCCTCCCGCCCCTTTCTCGGCTCCTGTACTTCAGGCTCTACCCTTTCTCCTGCTCCGTCTGTAGCTCCCACTTCCAGGCAGTCAGCACCTGCATCGCGGTGCTAATTCACCCACCTGCCTCACCACAGCTGCACCTGGGCACCACTTGCAGAAATGTCACCACCTCAAATCTGAAGGCTCTGCAAGTTCCAGAGTCCGGCATGTCTCCCAGTGACCCCTCTGGGGCGGGGCTCGTCAGCTGGTCACTCATCCATCCAATCACATTTATCGATCACTAAGTAAGAGCTTGATACAATCACCTGCACAGGAGGACGAGGGACCAGCCAGCCTCTCAGACAAGGAGCTGAACACCAGGTAGGAAAGAGTGGGGCTCCCTCTTCCTCGGGGTGGTAGTGTACACTGAGAGCAAGGAGGGCACACAACAGCAGGCGCAGAGTGTGAAACAGAACTGAATATTTTCTGAATATTTGGGTGTTTCCAACTAGGTGGGAAGCCAGGGTACAGGCGATTCAGGAGTCTCTGGACCCTCCCCTGCAGGGCCCAACCATGCAACCTCTCTATCCCCAACCCCTTCCCTAGGGAGGTCAGCAAACTGAAGCTAGTTTGGGACATGGCAGGTGGGCTGTGCTGAGCAAGTAGTGCGTGGCTTACAGACAGGTGGGTTTGGAGCTGACAAAGGCAATAGTGAGAGGAGCTAGTGACCGGCCAGGAATAAAGCTTTGTATCATGTCAATAATTCCACTATAAACTGGGAGCCAGTGGCTCATACCTGTAATCCTAGCTACTCAGGATGCTGAGAGCTGAGGATCACGGTTCAAAGCCAGCCCAAACTAAGAAAGTCTGTGAGACTCTTAATTCCAATGAACCACCAAAAAGCCGGAAGTGGAGCTTTGGCTCAAGTGGTAGATCACTAGCCTTGATCTACATGAGAAAGCAAAGCCCTGAGTTCAAGAGTTCAAGTCCCAGTATTGGAACACAAAAAATACAATCCCAGGGGCTGGGAAGATGGCTCAATGGTGGAGCACTTGCCTTGCATGCCTGAGGCCCTGGGTTCGATTCCTCAGTACCACATAAGCAAAAAGAAAAAAAAAAGCCAGAAGTGGAGCTGTGGCTCAAGTGGTAGAGCGCTAGCCTTGAGCTGAATACCTGAGGGACAGCGCCCAGGCCCAGAGTTCAGGCCCCACGACTGGACCCCAAAAATAAAAATAAAAAATAAATTAAAAAAATTAAAAAAAAATACAATTCCACCGTAACCCTGGGAAATAGTGTCAGCTGCCCCCAATTTTGTGGCCACAGAGGTGAGTGCTAAGGGGGTGGGATGAGTTCCTAAATGACAGGACGTAATTGAGCTCACATCCTGGATGCCGAGTCCCTGACCACACAGGGATATCAGAGGAGACAACTTGGACACACACGTGTGCACATACCCCATGCATGCACGCACACAAGCACCCAAACGTGTACATGTGCACACACGTGCACACACACACACACAAACACATGCCCACATACATGTATTCACCTGCATACAGACACCACAGGCGCACACACCACAGGCGCATACACACACATGCACAACACAAACACATGCGCACACACAAATGTACAGGCATGCATACACGTGCACGGAGGGTACCTGCGGGGTGGGGCTGGGCGAATCAGGAGGTGGGGCAGGGCTGGGCATGCGGAACGGGGTGCAAATCAGGGGAGGGGGGACGGGAAGGAGGGAGGACGGGCGCGAGTGAGTTAAGGGGCGTGGCTAGTCCCGGAGCAGAGCTTGGGGGCATGGCACCCCGGGGGCGTGGCTAGTCCGGCTGTGGCTGCTCAGGGGCGTGGCTAGTCCGGCTGTGGCTGCTCAGGGGCGTGGCTAGTCCGGCTGTGGCTGCTCAGGGGCGTGGCTAGTCCGGCTGGGGCGGCCCAGGGGCGTGGCTAGTCCGGCTGGGGCGGCCCAGGGGCGTGGCTAGTCCGGCTGGGGTGGCTCAGGGGCGTGGCTAGGCGGGCTGGGGCGGCCCGGGGGCGTGGCTAGTCGGGGGCGGGACGAGCGGGACGGGGCGGGAAGGGCCCGGCGGGAGGAAGGCCTGGCGGGCGTCAGGGGTGGCGGACCAGCGCCCAGTCCTCGGTCCGGGTCTGACCGGCCATGGAGCCCGAGCCGCCGCTCTATCCGGTGGCAGGGCCCGCGGGCCCGCAGGGCGATGAAGACGGTTTCGGGGTCCCCGATGGACCCGACGCCCCGGTGAGCGGGGTCGGGAGCGCAGGGCGGGGGGGGGGGGCAGGGTGACCCGCCGGCGGGCCGGGAGCCGTGGGCCGGACGGGCGGCCCGGGCCGCACCGACCAGCGGGTGCGAGCGACGTGTGGGTCCGCAGCTGGACGAGCTGGTGGGCGCGTACCCCAACTACAACGAGGAGGAGGAGGAACGCCGCTACTACCGCCGCAAGCGCCTCGGGGTGCTCAAGAACGTGCTGGCGGCCAGCGCGGGCGGCATGCTCACCTACGGCGTCTACCTGGGTACGGCCGCGGCCCGCCCACCCCGCCCGACCCCGCCCGACCCCGCCCGACCCCGCCCGACCCCGCCGGCCGCCCCCACCCGGCCCGGCTGGGAAAGAGAAAGCGAGCGGCCGCCGCTTCCCCTTTCGCTTCCCGCCTCTGCTTCGCCGCTACCCGGCGGGGAGGGCTGCGCACCTGCGCCCCGGGCCGCCACGGCCCCGCCACGGCCCCGCCACGGCCTCGCCACGGCCCCGCGCGTCTGGGCGCCGACCCCGTGCCCCACGGGCGCTGCACGCTTGTAACCCACCTCTGCCTGGGTGCATGCAGACCTCCGCAGTCCTCCCGCAGACCTGGCTGCTCCTCCACCTCCACAGTCCTCCCGCAGACCAGGCTGCTCCTCCATGCCTCCCCAGTCCTCTCATAGACCAGGCTGCTCCTCCATGCCTCCCAGTCCTCCCATAGACCGGGCTGCTCCTCCATGCCTCCCCAGTCCTCCCACAGACCAGGCTGCTCCTCCACCTCCCCAGTCCTCCTGCAGACCAGGCTGCTCCTCCATGCTGCTCCTGTCCCCAGGCCTCCCACAGACCAGGCTGCTCCTCCACCTCCCCAGTCCTCCCGCAGACCAGGCTGCTCCTCCACCTCCCCAGTCCTCCTGCAGACCAGGCTGCTCCTCCACCTCCCCAGTCCTCCTGCAGACCAGGCTGCTCCTCCATGCCTCCCCAGTCCTCTCATAGACCAGGCTGCTCCTCCATGCTGCTCCTGTCCCCAGGCCTCCCACAGACCAGGCTGCTCCTCCATGCTGCTCCTGTCCCCAGGCCTCCTTCAGATCCAGCTTATCCTGCACTATGATGAGACCTACCGCGAAGTGAAGTACGGCAACATGGGGCTGCCAGACATCGACAGCAAGATGCTCATGGGAATCAACGTGACGCCCATCGCCGCCCTCCTCTACACGCCCTTGCTCATCAGGTGCAACACTGCCCTCCAGGGCTGGGCTTTCACCTGGACCTCAACCGTGCAGAGGCTGTTGGGGCCCGAGGGCTCTGGCTGGCCTGATGTTTTATGGGGAGCCCTTGCCTGCCTGGGAGGGAGTGGGAGTAAAGGGGGGAAGCCCAAGTGTGGGGAAGAAATGAGAGCTTAGACCCAGCACATTTAGTTCAAGCCACAGACATCAGGCTGCCATTCTCAGATTACCTGTGTTGGATCACATGGCTTCTTCCGCACTGCCTCTGTGGCTGCCAGCCCCTACCAGCACCTTCTGTGGGGGCCCTGGAGCCCCACGAGTACAATGGATCTGCCAACTAAAGCTCACGCACCCACCCTTAGCCCATCTTCTAATGACTGGTGTTGAGGGTTCATTTCTTTCAGAAGGGCCTGGCCGGGTAGGTGACCAGGACAGAGGGTGGACGGTAGATTTATGTCTCAGGGTGTTTAGCCCAGCCTCCTGGACAGTGCACGAGTTAATCCCTCCACAGCATCTTCCCTGGTGGAACTCAGAGACTGATGGGCAGATTGTATGAGTTTTAGTTCCCTTATTTTATTTTTTGTTTCTAGTTTGCTATAATCACAGCGCTGTAACCACAGCTGCACAGGGTTAGGTCATTATAACCGGAATCTGAGAAAAGAAAGATCCTCAAGGCTCTTCAGCAGATGGACTGAGTTCACTGTCTTGCCACCACGTGTGGATCAAGTCCACATCCTTGCACACCAGAGCACGTGGGTGTGCAAGACTCACTTTTGCTTTCTTTCTTCTTTGTGCTAGATATATCTTACCTCTTCTGCAGCCTTCATGGTTGAATGTCTTGCAAGAGTCAAACTTTTGAGAGAGATGGGGGGGCTCTGAACCATGGTTCCAAGCTCCTGGGGTGCCACTCACTGTTTGCTTCTTTTTATTTGATTTAATTATTATTATTATTTGTGTGTGTGTTGGTACTGGGGTTGGACTCAGGGCCTGGTCACTGTCTCTGAGCTTTTTTGCTCAAGGCTGGTGCTCTACAACGTGAGCCACAGCTCCACATCCTGCTTTTTGGTGAGTAATTGGAGCTGAGACTCACGGACTTTCCTGCCCCAGCTGGCTTCAAACTTTAATCCTCAGACCTCAGCTTCCTGAGTAGCTAAAGTTACAGGCTCCAGCCACGGGCACCCAGTTCAATCTGCTTTTCCAAAGCGCTCTACCCATTACAAAAGGATCACTGGCTAGCTGGGCCAGTTTCTAAACCACATCCCCCCCGCAGCAGGAAAAATTTCTGGGTTTGCTGTTTTACTCTATCAGAATGTCCAGTTGTGTGCGACCTATCTTCCTACTCAATAGACCACAAGAGACTGCTTATCTAAGTATTAGATAACAAAATGAGGATGATAAAAGAGCCTGAGTGGAGTACTCGGGCTGCTCTGCCTAGCACTTCCTAGAAGTCAAAACGAAGGCCTGAATGAGCACAATACAGAAACAGGAGTGTTTTGTTCTTTTTTTCTTTTTTTGTTGGCCATGGGGCTTGAACACAGGACCTAGGCTCTACCTCTGAGCTCTTTTGCTCAAGGATATTGTACTCTACCCTATGAGCCAGAGTGCAACTTCTGGTTTTCTGGTGGTTTATTGGAGATGAGAGTCTCATGGACAAATCTCAGCCTCCTGAGCAGCTAGGATTACAGACATGACTCACTCATGCCTGCCTTACCAGGAGTGCTTTTTGTTTTTTCTTTTTGGCCAGTTCTGGGGCTTGAACTCAGGGCTTAGGCTCTGTCCCTGAGCTTCTTTTGCTCAAGGCTAGCAGTCTACTACTTGAGCCACAGTGCCGCTTCAGGCTTTTTCTGTATACATGGTACTGAGGAATGGAACCCAGGGCTTCATGCATGCTAGGCAAGCACTCTACCACTAAGCCACCTTTCCAGCCCACCAGGAGTGGTTTTTAACTTGATCAGCCTCCATCTTTGAGAGAGTTCTTGTGCTGTCACTCATCAAGCCCTTCCCCTTAATTCCCCTGAGACCTTCCCCCCAGACCTATCCTGGTGAGTAGACTGCACCTTCAGATCAGGTTCTTTGACTCCACCTCACACAGCCTTGGGTTGAGACCTGGGGTTGTGGTCAGAGCGGTGGGGGGGGGGCCTGAGGGGGGGTCCTGTGGTACCAGCATCCCCCCCACTGCGGCAGGTTTTTTGGCACCAAGTGGATGATGTTTCTGGCCATTGGCATCTATGCCCTCTTTGTGTCCACCAACTACTGGGAGCGCTACTACACTCTCGTTCCCTCTGCTGTGGCTCTGGGCATGGCCATTGTGCCTCTTTGGGCCTCCATGGGCAACTACATAACCAGGTAAGCCTGGGGACTGGCGGGGAGGGGGCGTTGGAGGCCCAGCTAAAAACCCTGCGCTAGGCTACACGGGTGTGCTTCCACTCCTTGGGTTTCCTGGGTTTTCCCCTGGGGTTGGCCAGCCTATAGCTCTGGGTGTGGGGAGTGGAGGGGACGGGGAGAGCCTTCGCTCCTCTGTGGTCCAGGATGGCCCAGAAGTACTACGAGTACTCCCACTACAAGGAGCATGAGGACCACGGCCCCCGGCATCGGCCGCCTCCGGGCTCCCACGCGCCCTACCTCCTGGTCTTCCAAGCCATCTTCTACAGCTTCTTCCATGTGAGTGTGTCACCTGCGACGCTGGCTGGGGGTGCTAGCGGTCCAGGCCCCCAGATCCCACACGTGGGAGCCCAGGAGTGGTTCTCTCAGCCCTCTAGTCCCATCTTCCTCTTCCGGAGTCAACCCTTGACCTGTCATGACAGAGACATCATCCCACCCGGTTTACAGAGCTGACTTGGGGAGGGGGAATCCTTCTTCCCTGGTCCCCAGAGGTGGGGGAGCTCCGACCCCCCGTGGGAGGAGGGCTGCCTGACTTCATGCCTGAGTCTGGCCACAGCTGCTCTTCTGTCCACAGCTGAGCTTTGCCTGCGCCCAGCTGCCTATGATTTACTTCTTGAATGACTACTTGTATGACCTGAATCACACGCTGTACAATGTGCACAGCTGCGGTCAGTCCTCATGCGGGCGGAGGGGCGGAGGGGTGGAGGGGCGGAGGGGTGGAGGGGCGGAGGGGCGGAGGGGTGGAGGGGTGGAGGGGTGGAGGAGACTCCGCAAGGCCTGCTTCCTCATCCATTCAGTCACCCAGAAGACACGGGGCCCTCATTCACAGGGTTCAGGGCTCCAAGAGCAGTGTCCAGTAGCTCTCCTCAGAAAGGCCTAAGGCCCGGTACTATGTGGTTAGATACCAGAGGCAGGGACGGGGTAGGACAAGGCAGGGAAAGTTCCCTGGAGGAGGGGCTATCTGGGTTGAGGCTGCTTTGGGGACCAGGCATGCTGCCAGTCAATGTGGAGTGGTGGGAGGTGGACTGGTCCCTTACCCCCTAGGGACCCTGACCTCCTAACTGACCCCCAAGGATCCCTCCTTTGCTGGCACTGCCCTGGCCTGCCCCACCACCTTGTCCCTACTGCTGCATTTCTTTGTGCCTCTGCTCCCTGCCACATGACACCCTGCGCTCCCTTCCCAGGCACTCAGAGCCACGACATCCTCAAGGGCTTCAACAAGACAGTTTTGCAGACACTCCCCTGGAGCCGAAACCTCATTGTGGTGGAGAGCGTGCTCATGGCAGTGGCTTTCCTGGCCATGCTGCTGGTGAGGCCCAGGCTTGGGGATGGGGCAGAGAGCGAGGATGGGTGTGGCCAGTCAGGAGCCTGGGCAGCCTGGTGTGGCCCAGGCAGGGTAGTGGCCTTGGAGTGGGCGCTCAGACTCAGGCCTGAGTGGTGAGTTCTGGAAGTGAGCTGATGCCCGTGGACCAAGGCTGGAGTTGGAATCTCAAGAATCCGTGGGAAGGAGGTCTAAGTAAAGAGGGACCAAGGGGACTGGCTGTGACCTGTGAGGGGGTCAGGGCTGAGTGGAGCTAAAGTGTGGGGGGTGAGATCAGGGACCAGGCTGAGTTCAGGGTTACCTGAGAGCAGAGAAAGCGTGAGGGTGTAGCCTTGGATTGAGAGGCGGAGTCCTGGGCCTGGAGGAGCACCGAGGTGAGGCCCTCTGAGTGAGGCGTGTGCTGAGGCCTGGGGGGCATGTGCTGAGGCCTGGAGAGTGCCTGTGGGCGGGGCCTTGGGCTGAGGCCTGTATTCGGTGTGCCTGTGGGCGGGGCCTTGGGCTGAGGCCTGTATTGGGTGTGCCTGTGGGCGGGGCCTTGGGCTGAGGACTGTATTGGGTGTGCCTGTGGGCGGGGCCTTGGGCTGAGGCCTGTATTGGGTATGCCTGTGGGCGGGGCCTTGGGCTGAGGCCTGGAGGGTGCCTAGGGGCGGGGCTTTGACCAGGGCTGGGGCCAGGGCTGAGTTCTGTGTTGGGTGCACCCATGGGTTGGCCCTTGGGCTGAGTTGGGGTTGGAGCCCAGGGGTCTAGGCCTGCTCGCCTGGCTGGTCATGCCTTATCAGCTCCTGTTCTTCAGGTGCTGGGCCTGTGTGGCGCTGCTTACCGGCCCACAGAGGAGATCGACCTGCGCAGCGTGGGCTGGGGCAACATCTTCCAGCTGCCCTTCAAGCACATGCGGGACTTCCGCCTGCGCCACCTCGTGCCTTTCTTCATCTACAGCGGCTTCGAGGTGCTCTTTGCCTGCACTGGATTCGCCCTGGTAAGTACAAGCCTGTGCAGGCTTGCCCATAAAGCAGGATGTCCAGGTAAGTTTGAGTTTTAGATGAACAGCAAGTAACTTTTCAGTATGTGTATAAATGTACAAGAAGAAAGACCCTGGATGTTTCCCTCTATTCTCTTTCTACTCGTCTCCTTTATCATGATGAGTCATTTTAACTTCTGTGTGTGTGTGTGTGTGTGTGTGTGTGTGTGTGTGTGTGTGTGTGTGTGCTGGTACTGGGTCTTGAACCCAGGCTTGGATGCTATTCCTTAGCTTTTTTTTTGCTCAAGAATAGTGCTCTACTACTTGAGCCACAGCTCCACTTTTGGCTTTTTGCTGGTTAATTGGAGCTAAGAGTTTCATGGATTTTTCTGCCAGAGTTGGCTTGAAACCAAGCTCCTCAGAGCTTAGCCTCCTGAGTAGCTAGGATTACAGGCATGAGCCACCAGCACCCAGCCTCATTTGAATAACTTCTCTGGATCTGAAGTGGGATAAACTACTTGGTTTCAGATGAGCTATAGCCCTGGGTGTCTGGGGACATAATCCAAAAAAATTCACATTTCCTATCCATCTCCCTTCCTAGAGGTCTTGCAGGGAGTCAGAGGAGGTGCAGATCCAGCAAGGAGTGGCCTAAAGTGACACCCTGTGTGGGTGCTGTCTCCTGTCTCCGCAGGGCTATGGCGTGTGCTCCATGGGGCTGGAGCGCCTGGCCTACCTCCTCATAGCTTACAGCCTGGGGGCCTCAGCTGCCTGCATCGTGGGTCTGCTGGGGTTGTGGCTGCCACGTTCCGTGCCCCTGCTAGCTGGGGCCGGCCTGCACCTGCTGCTCATCTTCAGCCTCTTTTTCTGGGCCCCTGTGCCTGGGGCTTTGCAACAAAGCTGGATCCTCTACATGACAGCTGCCCTCTGGGGTGTGGGCAGCGCCTTCAACAAGACGGGGCTCAGCAGTGAGTATTGCACTGGGCACTGGGGTGGTGGGTGGGGCCTGTGACAGCCTCTGGGTGGCCAGGGAGCATTTCCATTCCAGAGACAGACATGGGGTCTGCCACGGGGTTCCATGGAGGAAGTATAGGGAGGTGGAGATCTCCTGTGTCCAGTCCAGAGGTGGAAAGAGCATGCACACTGTAGGGACAGGCGTGGAAGTCTGTGGGCGCCTGAAAGAGCATAGGGAGTGCTGTGGTGTGGAGTTGCTGGTGTGGACACTGAGGCTGGTTTAAATTCTTGTGGATATACAGAGTGAGTGAGGGCTCTGTGGACAGCCCTTAGGGACAGTGGGAGAAACATAGCAGACGCCCCCTTCTCATGCCAGGCCCATCCTGGCATAGTTTCTGTGACAGTGGAAGTAGATGTCTGGATCTTGTTTGTACTAGGGCAAAGCAGCAGGTGTTCCTGCCCATATTCCAGGGTGTAGGTGCAGATCTAAGCTCTTTTCTTTTTCCTTTTTTGGTAATCCTTGGGGTTGAGTCTGTCAGCACTACAATGCTAAGTGATACTTCTAGTCCCAGATCTGGACCTTTTTGAGACAGGAGCAGGCTTGAAGCCTCAGAGCACAGCAGCGGAGTCCAGGCCACAAGCCTGAGCCTTTGCCAGTCACATGCAGCTGTTCCTTGGGTCATTAATATTAACAGTTATGTGGATCATCAATCAATATCAACATTTATTTTGATGGCTGGTCGCATTAAATTGTGTGTGTGTGTGTGTGTGTGTGCTGGCACTGGGGCTCAAACTCAGGACCTCACACCAGCTTAGCTTTTTTGCTCAAGGCTGGTGCTCTATCAGTTGAGCCACGCTTCCCCTTCCAGATTCTTGCTGGTTAATTGCAGGTACAGATATATTGGATTTAATCTGCACGATCTACCTTCAAACCCAAATCCCCCAATCTTAGCCTCCTGAGTAGCTAGGATTACAGGTGTGAGCCACGGCCCCTGGCTCTCTTCACAGTTTTGAATGTCACCACCTCTGGTGGTGCTCTGCTCGTTTCCTGAGCCTGAAGTCAGTGTTGATAGTGAGTGGCTCTCATGGTCTGCCAGGTGCTTTGTGGTCTTGCTTGTAGAACCTCCCAGCTTGATGTGTAATATGTGTAAGCTCATTTCACAGCTGGGAAAAGCAGATCTCAGGAACCAAGTAACTGCCCCAAACCACTCACAGAAGCAACATTTCAATCCATATCTTCTCACCTCTAAATTCCTATCTTTGTCCACCTTCCATTCATGAGCACTTGACTCAGAGTCTCCTGAATCCCCTGCTGTCCCGTGCTCTTTCTGCCCATCCCTAGGAAAGAAACAAGTCCCTCTGCCGTACACTTTGGGTTTGCACAGTATTGTTCTCCTCAGACCTGAAGAGGAGAAGGAATAGCTTCTGTGTGCCCTGGGGTCCAGGGGAGGACCTGACTAAGATCAGAGCTTTTCTGCGGCTGCCCTGTGTGCCCGCATGGGGAGTTTAGTAAGCAGAGCTTCCACTAGAGCATGCACCAGGGCTGGTCTACAGGGAGGGGGCTCAGGGATGGCCTGGTACAAGGCCTAGGAGAGTCACAGGTAGGAAATCAGCATTCCCCCCGCCCCCGGGCCCCAATGAACACCTGGCACTTGCCCTGCCCCCCACTATTCACAGCACTCCTGGGAATCCTATATGAAGACAAGGAGAGGCAGGACTTCATCTTCACCATTTACCACTGGTGGCAGGCGGTGGCCATCTTTGTCGTGTACCTGGGCTCCAGCCTGCCCATGAAGGTGAGGCTGCTGCTGGTGGGGGGGGGTGGGGGGAGGGGGGAGTGTAGGGAGGGAAGAAACCATGCCTGTCAGCCAGTAGCTGGGCTCCTGGCTTCCCAGGGCCCCTCCGCAGCTCACCAGGCAAGGGAGGAAACGGAGGACTTCAAGGAAGCATGGAAGATAGGGGCCTGTGGCGGAGCTGGAGCTTACATACTGTGCTCCCCAACCAAATAGCAGATGTGTGCAGTGGCTGAGTTAGTACGCACTGCCTTCAGGGCGTGACTTCCAGGCTAACCTGCAGTCACTGAGCCCCAAGCGCGTGCACGGTGTTTATTTTTTATTTTTATTTTGTCTTTTTTTTTGTCGGTCGTGGGGCTTGAACTCTGGGCCTAGGCACTGTCCTTGAGCTCTTCAGCTCAAGGCGAGCGCTCAACCACTTGAGCCACAGCACCATGTCCAGTTTTCTGATGGTTAATTGGAGATAAGAGTCTCATAGACGTTCCTGCCCGGGCTGGCTTTGAACCGTGATCCTCAGATCTCAGCCTGCTGCGGAGCTAGGGTTACAGGCGGGAGCCACGGGCGCTGGGCTGTGCGCTAAGGTCAAGCAGGGCCACACCTGTCTCTAGGCCTCATCAAACCCGCACCTTTACTCTGGGAGGCACAGGCGTGGGCAAGGGTGGAGCCCCTCACCCCTCCCTGTGCCCAGGTCAAGCTGGCCGTGCTGCTGGCGACGCTGGCGGCGGCGGCGGGCTCGTACCTGTGGATGGAGCAGAAGCTGCGGCGCGGGCTGACCCCGCGCCAGCCCCGCATCCCGCGGCCCCAGCACAAAGTGCGCGGCTACCGCTACCTGGAGGAGGACAACTCGGACGAGAGCGACGCGGAGCGCCCGCCCGGAGCCGGGGCCGACTGCGCGGAGCCTGCGCCCGCCGGGCCAGGCCTGGGCCCGCAGCCCGACGGCCCCCAGCGCCGGCTCTGCCCCTACGAACAGGCGCAGGGGCGCGAGGGGCCCGAGGAGCAGTGAGGGCCCGGGCGCGGCCCTGGACTCTGCTCGCCCGCCTCAGTTTACCATCGCTCAGTTTACCCCACCAGCAAGGAGGACCCCGGGTCTCCCGGGAACGCCACAGGCGCCGTCTACCGGAGGGGTGAGGGTCGCCCCGCAGGGCCAGCGTGGGGTCCGAGGGGGGAGGGAGACTCGGTGCGCCCCGCCCAACCCCCCCCTCTCTCCCCAGGCTCCGCCCCAACCCCCGCCTGCCCACCCCAAGCTCTGCCCCCAAACCCCGCCCACCCCGCCCCAGGCTCCACCCAAGCACTGCCCCGCTGGCCCCAGGCTCCGCCCCCAACCCCCCCACTCACCCCGCCCCAGGCTCCGCCCCAAGCACCGCCCCAACTGCCCAGGCTCCGCCCAAACCCCGCCCACTCGCCCCAGGCCCCGCCCCAAGCACCGCCCCAACTGCCCAGGCCCCCGCCCAAAGTACCGCCCTAACTGCTCAGGCCCCGCCCCAAGCACCGCCCCAACTGCCCAGGCCCTGCCCCAAGCACCGCCCCAACTGCCCAGGCTCCGCCCAAACCCCGCCCACCCGCCCCAGGCTCCGCCCCAGACCTGCCAGCCCCCCCCCGCCCCTCCCTACCCCGTCCCCCGCCCCTCCCCACCCCGCCCCCCCCCCCCCCCCCCCCCCCGCCTGTGACCCGATTGGGCCTCCTCCTCCCGGCATCCTCTTTTGATAGAAAACGAGTAATAAAGAGTTGCACTACCGGCTGAGGACTGGGAGAGGCGTCCGCCTGTCCGAAGGACGGTGCTTGGCTGCCCCTGGGCCTCCTGGGCCTCGGTCCCACCCCTCTTGCCGTGTCCCCCACCGGCCCGGGCCGGCCCGGGAGTGGTCCTGCCAGCCCGGGAGGGGTCCAGCTCCCCTCCCAGCTCCCCTCCCACGGAGCCTGCATGGCTGGGGGTCAGGCCAGCTGAGATCCAAGGTCGCTGTTTGAAGCTGCCCAGGCAGGAAAGCCCATGAGACCCTTGTCACCTGTCAACCACCGAAATGCTGGAAGTGGAGCCGTGGCTCAAGTGGTAGTGTGCCAGCCTTAAGGGAGAAGCTAAGGGACAGGACCCAGAGTTCAAGTCCCGGTACTGGCACAAAAAGGGGGTGGGGTGCTGTAGGGCCTGGGCTTTTCATTTGCGCCTTGAAAGGTCCTTTGATGAGGTCCTTCCACTCCTGCAGGACTCCGCCTCCTCGGTGACCCTTGTCCCTCTCAGGGCCCACACCCACTTCAGCACCCACGGTTCTCACGGCCTCTCCTGCCCACGCGGTGCTCCACCACCCCTCCCTGCCTGCGCTCCTGGGAGCCAGGCTGGGACCAGGGCAGATCAGGCCTGAGAACCACAGGGCCCTTGACTGTACACTGGACCCCATCAAAGTGGAGCCATGTTAGAATCTCCGAGGTTCCCAGCACCTAGAGATGGCCTCAGTTTTTTGCCTTTTTGGTAATGGGGCTTGAACTCAAGACCTCACATTCTCCCTTAGCTGTTTTCGATTAAGGCTGGCGCGCTACCAACTTGAGTCACAAAATCAGTCTCTGAATTTTTGCTGATTCATTGGAGATACAGGAGTCTCCAATATTATTTCCAGGGTTGGCTTTGCAGTGTGACCCTCAGATCTCAGCCTTTTGAAAGATTAGGGTTACAAGTGTGAGCCACACACACTCCAGGAGATGTTTGTTTTCTAAATGTGGGAGGAGGGGAGGCAGGCACACTCAGGGACCAACAGCCCCACCGGTGGCTGCGCAGGGTGACAGCGGTGCGGATGGGGCCTGCACCCCCAGAATCGCAACATCTGCCACAGCGAGGGTGTCCGGAAGCCATGTGTGACGCCTGTGGGCGGGGTTCCGAGCCTCCAGGAGGCCTTGGGGAGCAGAGCCTGGAGAACAAGCATCTGAGCCAGGCTGCTGCGCGGCTGCAGTTGTCACAGTTCAAAGCCATCTCTGCTGCCCACGGTGCAGCGCAGAGGCTGTGGTGAGGGGCAGGTGGGGTAGCATGGCCTCCAGCTCTGTTCTTCTGCGGTCCCATGAGCACTCCACAGCGCGCCTGCTGCTCCTGGCGCAAGAATGCGACTCACACACTTAGATGGGACAGGTAGCTCCTAAGATCACATGGCACAATGTATGTGCAACAGACCCCATGTGACAGAGCATGCATGGATGTGCACACACACGCGCACACACGTGTGCACACATGCACACGCGTGCACACACACACGCACACACACACACACCAGGGGCAGTGCCCCGGTCACGGCAGCCCCAGCAGGCTGGCTGCTTCAGGGTGGAGGTAACTGAGCCTCATCCCAGCCCTTGGCAGCGGCTGCTCTCATTAGGTGTCTCGGTGGCACTTGTGCCTCCTCCCTATCTCTTGGTTCGTGGAAGTTCTGGATCGTGAGTGGAAGATCAAGCTGTGTTGTAGCCTCTGTCCCCTGAGAACCATCCTTGTTCCAGAAGCCTCTGCCATTTTGCGAGTCTGCACTGTGATTTCAAATCTATTTGAAGCTGGGCACTGGTGGTTCACGCCTGTAATCCTCGCTATTCAGGAGGCTGAGTTCCGAGGATCCAGGTTTAAAATCAGCCAAGGCAGAAATGTCTGTAAGGTTCTTATGTCTAATTAACCAACAAAAAGCCAGGAGTGGAGGTGTGGTCCAAGTGGTTGAGCACTAGCCTTGAGTGAAAAAGCTATAGAACAGACAGCATACAGGACCTGGGTTTAAGCACAAGGACCAGCACACACACACACACACACACACACACACACACACACACACACACAATGAATATAAAGAAAACACTTAGGAAAAGGACAAAAATTTCTATCTAGATACATTTGAGCTGTAGCTACAGAAAGTTTCCTCTGGGATTTTTTAAAATTGCATTTTCAGGAATAGTTTATATATGTTTAGAATGCCTATAATGAAGTCAGTCTGTAGAATCTAGGAACCCTGAAATTGAGACATCAGCATTAAAAAGTCATCTTTGCATAGTGATTACCCCTGGGAGTCCTGGCATAACCGGACAGTAACTTCCATGGGAGGTCCTCCAGACTCGCCACTCACGGTTTCCCAGGGCCCCTCTGGTGTGGAGCTCCCAACCCCAAATTACAGATCTCATGAGAAAACAAGTCACCATGAATAGAAGACAACAGACCCTGAAAGGAATAGAATTAAGTCTCCCCTCGGCGAATTCCTCAGCTAGAAGAGGATATCACATTGGTATGTATGGTTGAGAGCAGCTAAAAGGGCCCATGACATGACCTGACTCGTGTGTGTATGTGTGTGTGTGTGTGTGTGTGTGTGTGTATGTGTGTGCTGTCACTCGTGTGTGTGTGTGTGTGTATGTGTGTGCTGTCACTCGTGTGTGTGTGTGTGTGTGTATGTGTGTGCTGTCACTCGTGTGTGTGTGTGTGTGTGTGTGTGTGTGTGCTGTCACTCCTGTGTGTGTGTGTGTGCGCTCGCGCGCACTCGCGCCCATGTACGCACGCGCGCACTGTCAGTAGGGCTGAATCTCAAGCCTGCACTGTCCCTTTCCTTTTTAACTCAAAGTTGGTGCTCTGCCATTTGAACCACACCTCCACTTCTATTTTTTTTGGGGGGGATGCTCAATTGGAGATAGGAGTCTCACAGACTTTCCTTCTTGGGCTGGCTTGGAATCAGAGTCCTCAGAACTCAGCCTCCTGAGTAGCTGGGATTAAAGTTGTGAGCCACTAGCATCTGGTTTATGATCTGATTCATGACTTTTTACATCTTTGTGTGATTTACACCTCTTGATTGTAGTCTGGGACCTAGTTGTTTTGTTTTGTTTTTGTTGGTCATGGGGCCTGAACTCTGGGCCTGGGTGCTGCCCCTCAGCTCTCCAGCTCAAGGCTATTGCTTTACCACTTGAGCCACAGCGCCACTTCTGTATTTTTCTGCTTATGTGGTGCTGAGGAATTGAACCCAGGGCCTCATGCATGCAAGGCAAGCACTCTACCACTGAGCCACCTTCCCATCCTGGGATCTAGTCTTTTAATTTAGTGAGTCACTAAACTCATTTAACTGTTTTTCTCAGTGCAGGGGATGGAGCCCAGGGCTTTGCTCACGCAAGACAAGTGTCACGAACCAGCAGGCACAGGCTGTCTTTCTGCGCTGCCCCGATGGACGTGGTGGGCAGGCTGGGCCAGGCTCCTCCGGCTCACTGAGGGGATTGGTGGGTGTTTACAGACCTGAGGATTGGAAGATACCAGCAGCAGGAGTTCACTGAGACCCTGGAAACCTATAGTGTAGCAGCAGGTTCCTGGCCTCCAGGATCAGGTGAGGCCCCAGTTGTTTTCCTCTTGGGCCAGGACTTGCAGCCACAGCATTGATGATCCCATGGTCCAGTGACCCAATGATACAGTTCAGTGGTGTCTGTTTACTTTTAGCTGTCATGGTGCTGCAGTGGCTCAACGGCCTGTAGCTATCTTCTGTCAATTTGGTCCTGATTTATCCAACTGGCCTGCGGCCAGGCAGCGGATACTGGTCTCAGCACTGACTCTTGTCACCCGAGGAACCACTTGCCAACCTCCTGTGCCCTGGGCCACCCACAGCTATTGGTGCTGCTCTCCTTCAGATTACTCAACTGATGATAAAAATAAAAAGTAGTCAAGTCCTGGCATCAGTGGCTCACGCCTGTAATCCTAGCTACTCAGGAGGCTGAGATCTGAGGGTGGCGGTTCAAAGCCAGCCTGGGCAGGAAAGTCTGTGAGACTCCTGATCTCCAATAAACCACTCAGAAAACTGTGGTGCTATGGTTCAAGGGCTAGAACACTAGCCTTGAGCTGAAGAGCTGAGGGACAGCGCCCAGGCCCAGAGTTCAAGACCCATGACTGACCCAAAAGCAAAAAAAAAAAAAAAGTAGGCAAGGCAGATGGGTTCTGTGGCTCTCACTTGTAATCCCACACACTTGGGAGGTGGAGATTGGGAAGGTAGCAGTTAAAGCCATCCTGGGCCAAAAGTTAGCAAGGCTTCCATCTCCATGAATATAAAAGATCTGCCCCCATAGGTGACTCCTGTCACCTTGGCAATGTGGGAAGTATAAAAGGAGCTTGGCCCACGCTGGTCTGTGGGTGAATGTGAGACCCTATTTGAAAAATGATTAAAAGCAAAATGGGGAGGTCAGGGGAGATGGTGAGTTAGAAGCACTTGCCATTTTCATTCCTTGAATGAGAAGAATCTCATGACACAGAGGAGACTAGACTGTAAAGAGAGGAAAAGAAAAGG